GGTAAATATAGTAATAAAGTAACAGAAATAATAATGGTCGTAACAATGATAATGATAATAATAACTGGAATGATAACATTGATAACAGTATGCAATAATAACGAAGTAATAAGAAACAAGTGACGATAAAACAACAAAAATAAATAAAATATTGGACCTGATTCACTGAGCAGCCACACGATTAAGATGGCGAATTCACTGTGCGTGAAACCAGTGTCACTCATTGGCTTTATGATATGTTTCAACATTCCATTCAACAATTCTCCAAGTGCCCTTCAATAAAAGCATAAATATTACTGGAATACTGAAATTAAAATGTTCGCAAACAACTTCGTCTTTCTTCCAAATTAAACCAACAAGCACATTACTGCATAAAGGCACATACAAAAGCGTTCAACTGATCTGCAGAAAATCGCTCACTTAACATAAAGAAACTTCGGATACGATGGTGTTCCAATATTGAATGAGAAAAGCAAAAATGTTAACTGAGTTTCCGAAGAAACAGATCATTTTGGGTACATTTAAGGAAGAATCAATTGCTCGTTCAATCGAACTCTTCGTTTCATTGGTACTGCGTCAATATATTCACCTTGTCGCGTTATCATCCTGTGAATCGAAAAATGTCGACATTGAATGTTCGTCTAAATATTGCCACATTGAAACCAAAACTTTTGATGACGAGGACATGTCTGCAGCAAACGTATTCAGTGACAAATAACCTATTTCGGCCAGCCAAAAACATGGTACAAATTCTCTGAATAAAGAAACCTGAAATTACAATTTATAACTCATTCAAATGTTAACCATTCTACTAAATTGAAAGTAAAAATGAAAAGCACAACGTAAACAAAAAGCAACTAACCTTAACATTACTATCGAAATGAGCGATTTCAATGAAAACTTTCGTGACAAAATCAACCAAAAATGGCATTTCAATCTGACGATATTTTTGCAGTTCATCATATTTGGCCACTTGCAGTTTCTGAAAAAGGAAACCTAGAAGATAGTGTCACAGGAAAATTAAACTACAGAAATTCAAAAGCTTCCTGGCGAGGTACAATTCTCACCATCATGTTTATGGAAAATTATCGCTGGAGTTTTTATCACATTGCACGTTCATTGATATCTATTGCATTGACAGTTTCAAAATAATGA